TACGTCGGATGGATGGTGTTAATAAAGCTTTAGAAAGAGGAAGAAATAAGGGGCACTATGAGGATCTTCTTGCTCAATTATGGAAAGATTTTGAGGAAGTGCTTGTTCAGGAGTCTCTCTTGTGGGCCCAGAAAGCACGTGTAGAGTGGTCTGTTTATGGAGACAGAAACACGAGACTCTTCCATTCTAGAGCCAACAAACGCCGCAAAGCAAATAGAATCGATGCTATCCGGATAGATGGAGGAGAGTGGTGTCATGATTTAGAGGTAATTAAACAGGAAGCCACGAGATTTTTTGCTTCATTATTTACCGAGGAAGCCAGAGTTCGTGCGGAGCTGCCTTGTGAACTTACGTACCCCACTATTGATGAGGTGAGCTTACAAATATGTGATCGACCTATAGATGCGGTTGAAATTAAAAATGCTCTTTTTAGTATGGGGCCCCTGAAGTCTCCGGGACCGGATGGGTTCAATGCTCTCTTTTATCAATCGCAATGGGATACCATTGGAGCTTCCATGGTAAGATATATTCAACGGATTTTTGCCAACCCTGAAGAGGTGAAAGAGGAAAATGGTACGTTAATTGTTCTTATTCCTAAGAAGGATCCTCCTGAAACTTTTACAGATTTGCGTCCCATAAGCCTCTGTAACGTTACTTATAAAGTGGTGACAAAAATTTTAGCAAATAGAATGAAGATGTTTCTCCCACAAATTATCTCACCAAATCAATGTGGCTTTGTACCTGGTAGACATGGGTCAGATAACATTATTGTAGCTCAAGAGGTGATTCATTCTATGCGTAACTTGAGTGGAAAAAAGGGGTACATGGCTATCAAAATTGATCTTGAAAAGGCGTATGATAGAGTTAACTGGAGTTTTTTGTTACGATGTTTAAAGGAACTGAACCTTCCATCTCATTTTGTTGATGTCATTGAAAATTGTATTAGCTCAGCAAGCCTTCAACTGTTATGGAATGGTAACAAAGCTGACTCTTTTGAATCCTCACGGGGTGTACGGCAAGGGGACCCAATGTCCCCTTATCTCTTTGTGATCTGCATGGAGAAACTTGCACACCTAATTCAAGAGCGAATCCATAAGAGGGAATGGAAGCCGATCAGGTTGACGAAAAATGGCCCACCTATCTCCCATTTATTTTTTGCAGATGATATTATTTTGTTTGCAGAAGCCTCCTTACAACAGGCAGACTCAATTCGACAATGCTTGGATGCTTTCTGTTCCAGCTCTGGTTTGAAGGTTAATTATTCCAAGACTCGTATCTTCTTTTCAACAAACATTAACCACAACAGGTGCACCGAGATTAGTTCTCACATGGGCTTCACTCAAACGGCAGACTTGGGGAAGTACTTGGGAGTTCCCCTCCATCACAAGAAAGTGACTCAAGATACTTTCAGGGGGACAGTGGATAAAGTAAAACAAAGACTAGCCAACTGGAAGACTAGTTCCTTGTCTCTTGCAGGAAGAACTACGTTAATAAATTCGGTCACTTCAGCCATCCCAAGCTATGCCATGCAAACGAATCTTCTTCCAGCACCTTTGTGTGAAAATCTGGATAAACTTAATCGAGGATTTCTTTGGGGGTCTACGGAGCAGCAACGGAAAATTTCTCTGGTATCATGGGATGCTGTTTGTACTCCCAGGTCTAAAGGCGGGCTAGGACTAAGACATGCAAAACTACAGAATCATGCTCATCTCATGAAGATTGGCTGGAAGCTAGCGCATTGTCGTGATGAATTCTGGGCTAGAGTAATTAGAGACAAATACCGTTGTGGAAACGACCTTCTCCCTGTGATAGACAAAAAGAGAAGCGGATCAAATATCTGGCTGGGGATCCGAAAAACTTGGGATACTGTTAAAGATGGACTTGAGGTTGTGGCTAATGGTACCAAAGTGAGATGGAAACATGACCGAAATGGTTATTTCTCAGTCAAGTCGGCCTATGCTCAACTAGCTCAAGAGGATGGTCTAGTGGATACATTGTGGGAGAAACTATGGAAGCTACGTATCCCTCAGCGCTGCAGAACAACGTTGTGGTTAGTTGCTCGCAAGAGCTTGCTAACTAATGCATTGCGGCACAAAAGGGGACTCACTGATGATGAACGTTGTCCTCTTTGTAAGCAAGCACCTGAGGAGCTGATCCATGTATTCCGAGACTGCTCAGAAACTAGGCTTCTCTGGAGAAAACTCATATGCCCTTCAGTGTGGCAGCGCTTTTGTTCACTTAATTTTCATGACTGGTTTAGGTGGAATATCACAACTAAGAACATTAATCATGAAGAGTGGAACGCGACTTTTGCGATTATATGCTGGTGGATTTGGAGGCGTCGGAATCTTTCTATCTTTGAAGGGAAGAGGGTTGCTAACGAAGCTATTATCTCTAATACAGCTGCAATCCTTCACAGCCTCGGGCAAGCCCAGAAATCTCTCTCGGGGGTCTCGCTACCTGAAGTTCAGAGCTCGACTACGGACACCGGATGGTACGCTCCAAGACGTGGGTGGGTTAAACTCAACGTAGATGGTGCTTTTTCTTCTATCACGCACTCATGTGCATGCGGGGGCCTCATACGTGATGAAACAGGAACCTTCATACAAGGTTTTATCCACACAATCCACGAGGGCGACGAGTTACATGCGGAGCTGTGGGCGTGTTTGCATGGATTGAAGCTAGCATGGGACGTCGGTCATCGAAGAGTGATCTTAGAGTCAGATGCAAGTGAAGCTGTAGAGCTGATACGTAATGAACCCGACGAGCTGCATGCAGATTATTCAATTATTAAAGAAATACGCCAGCTTTTAGGAAGAGACTGGGAGGTTCAAACAGCCCTCGTGAGCAGAGGGGCTAATAAGGCCGCAGATCATTTGGCTAAGAAGGGACTTGGGTTTCCGAGAGGATTCCATTACATTGGTTCAGCACCAAACGAGCTGCTGCACACTCTCAATGCTGATCGTAATCGTAGTAGGCATGTAGCCACGCTGTAAGGTGTACCCCATTATTATCAAAAAAAAAAAAAAAGAGGTGAAGGCTATTCCTGCGTCCCCATGGCAACCTAAAGGGATAAATCCCACCAACTTTGGATTTGGGTTTGATCCCATCACAAAGGATTTCAAGGTTGTTCGATTTCCAATATGCCCTTTGGTGAGGAGAGAACAACTACTAGTCGAAGTGTACAATCTCAGTACTGATTCCTGGAGAAAAATAGATGTTGATGATGTCTCCTTTTATGAATCCCACAAATATTCATGTGTGGGTTCTCATTTGAATGGTGTTTATCACTGGATATGTCGTTCCCTTGATGAGACTGATAAGTTTATTGTGAGCTTTAACTTTGGCAAAGAGGTTTTTGGGATTATACAAAGCCCTCCTGGAATTGCTTCCTCTCGTAGTCAAAATAATCATCTTTCTGTAGTGGATGATCGTCTCGCTTGGGCTGTTAAGCATGATTCGATTGATTATCGTGTTGAGATTTGGGTGATGAGTGAGTATGGTTTTGAGAGTAGTTGGACTAAGAAGTTTGAGATCCGACCATTCCCTGACTCTTGGCATATCTTAGAGTTCTGGGGACATAATGAAATTCTTGTTTATGAAGACGATGTTAATCGATTTGTTTTATATAATTTTTGGAAGCAACAAAGACAAATATTGCAAAGCCACTTTCTGAGGAAGACAGCGATGGATTATGCGGAAAGTTTGTTTCGGTTGGGAGGAAATTAAAGGGAAAACGCCAAAAATATGACAACAATTTATGTAATTGTATTTTCATATCCATTATGCCATCCACTTCTATACATTTCTTTTTGTTTTCATGATTAATGAGTATAATAATATTTGATGTTTCTTTGGTTAATGATAAAAATGACTGTTTTTGCGCTAAAAAATTGCTCTAACCTTTCTAATAAATCCAAATTGAACGCTGTTATTTTGTTTTGCCCATATGTGAAAGCTTTATATTGAATAGACAATAATACTTCATTAAATTAATTAGTTGGTATTCTTCTGCATCAAACACCATAGCAGGTGATGGCTTAGTTCGTTTAATTAGCAGGCTTTTACCCACAAATAAATTTAATTTAAATCAAAATTTATTTATTTAAACTCTTTAAAGTCATCTCATGAATATATGCCTACATGGAAAGTTTGATTCGTAAAGATATGCTCAATTAAAAATTAATTTATTAGAGATGGAAACCGAAAATAGTGTTGACATGGTACAAAATTTAAAAAAAAAAAATTTGTTGGCATTGTTTCTTTTTCTTTTATCCTTTTTTTCAAAGCGCAATAAATGTTTTATGTGTGTATATTGGGCTACTTTAGAAATATTTTGTGTTCTATTTTATAGAATGTAATTTTTATTTTGTATAAATTTGTATATTTTTTATAACAAATTTTTTATATATGCATTTTTAATAGAAAATTATAAAAACATCACTTAAAAATGGCAAACACATAAGTAAATTATTTTTTTCCTCATCATATTGGATTCTAAATGTTCAGATATTGCCAATTAATTTTATTATATCAAAAGCTAATTAAAGAAAGAGAGGAGATGAGATGAAGATCATGTGTTTATATATGCTTCAATACCAGATTAATAATATTAATTTCCAGATACAAACTGAACTATGATAAAGACAAATGATTGACTGGCTTTCAAGAAAACTAGGACAATACGAATATAGGATACTCCCTGATTCTATTATAATAATAATACCACCTATTTGTGTTTATTTAAGATGCTCTAAAATCTTCTTAGGAAAACTACTGGGGAGATTCTCCTTACCTGAAAAGAAGGAAAAACAAATAGAGTGAAAATCTTTTAGCTAGGATATGCCTTTAAGTTTTTAATTAAAAAATAGGTATAAAAGCAAATGTATATGTTTAAGGTACCTCTATTGAACAAAAAACATAAGAAATTGGAAATTAGAAATTAAAAAATAGAATAATTATATACCATATATAATCTATCCACCACCATTATTATGACCTCAAGCCTTAGAAGAACTAGAGGAGGAGCCGCCGCCGCCGCCACCAAAGCCGAATGGGTAGAAGTTAGTGGCTTGAGGTAAGGAGGCTTCACAAAGAGGACAAGCATTTCTCTTATTCCCTAACCATGAAGCAATGCAATGTTCATGGAAGAAGTGTCCACAGCCCATGGCTTTCACCATTGTTTCCAGCTGAAACTCCTCTCGACATATTGGGCATTCGGGTTGTTTTTCCAACAACTCCTCAGTAATCATCATCTTCTCCATCTCATCTATGGAGGACTGAGAAGCTGGCTTCTTGGAAGCTTCAAAAGCCCGCAACTGTTGAATGTAAGTTTCTTCAGGTGTACGCTTGATTTTACAAGGCCCGATGTCCTCACTCTGACAAAAAGTACAGCGCTTAGTTGAAGGATTAATGAACACTGATCTATTACATTTAACGCAGAAGTATGACTTGAAATCCTCTGGCCTAGACATGACAGTGGTATGGTTTGAAGATGGAAGATGAAATATAAGCCCAAGGTTAATAATGAAGGAATAAGGGATATGGATATATATATGTAGATATATATGGTTTTAAAAACCTAAAGGTCACCTCCATTTGTGCCAACTTATTCAGTTCAGAAACGCATGAATCTGCAGAGATCTGGTTCGCATGATAGAGACAGTTTCTCTTCTGCACACTTGCTTCTCTGTGACTGGTTTCGTACTCTGAGCAATCCGGCTAAATGCAATACTCATTCATGAGTTTTAGTTCATTGGAATGGAACATGCATGATGAAGAGACTCCATCTCCGATTCATGAATTTTTAAATGGAAGATAGGTGAGACTCTACGCAAGATAATAATTAAAAAAAAAGTACTTATTAACTAAAAATAGAAGCAATGTTTTTTATGGTAAAAAGATAGGGAAAATTAGTAAAAATCCCTGTTTAAAAATTTTATCAATAAGAATGATTTAAATCGAAGTATTGTTATTTTTTGTATATATGAAATTTGTGGAGTACGAATATTTTCTATGTATAAAGATATATCAAGTCATTCTTTTAATATAATTATATCATGTCATTCTAATTAATGAAATTATTAGTAATGTCTTTTATGATCAATTTCAATTTGAATTTATAACAAAATTAATAGGAATGGTAATATTGTATTATTAAAATTATTTAATGAAGAATTTCGAATTTCAAATTATTTACTATTATAGAATATATTAAATTATAATTATTTCATATTTTAATGAATTGATTTTATTTATTTGATGAATTCCAGAATTATGAAAATTCCAAATTCAAATTAATTAACTTGGGGGTTTAATTTTTTTCCAAAAATATTAAATCATATAAAAGCGTACGTTTATGATCCTTCGAGTTTGACGTATATCGTTGAGCCTTAAACATGATTTTGACTTAAAAAGATAGAAAAAATGAAGTTTATGAGATTTGTACGTTATCAACTCTGTTTTATTAGCTTATATATGATTTATGCATGAATCTTACATTTACTTTTTAATTATACATAAATTTTATTGTATATTTTAATTAAATTATATTTCATCTCTTATTATAAGCACTTAATTTCGTTTTTTTTGTTGTAAAATATCAAAATTACTATCAACACAAGTTATTAGGTAGAGGAGTTTAGTTAACTAGCTACTAGTAAGTTTACAGTTATTAGGTGAAAGAAAAAAATTAGATCAAACAATGGTATATTATGAGACATGCTGGAGATTCTTATAATTAAAAATGAAAAGAATCTTAGTTCAACTATGAGTGAATTGGCCCAATTTATTGACTGGCTAGACTGTATACCATTGACCTATTATCTTAATCATTTATTGACTGTTTTAATTTTCAGTATCTTGCTCTCTATAATATATCATGTTATATAATGTGAATCCACAAAGCATGATGTCCAAGTGTAGGTTTAAATTTCCTCAAACCATCCAAAACTTCAGAGATTTTCCTGACATCCAATGACTTCAAGTGGCTCTATTTACAATTTAGACATGACCGATAATTTCATATATAATTTCAATTAATGTTCCCCTAATTATCTATATTATCATTTTTTTTTCAGAGATGGGATGGTCTTGAATTATTAAGATTATTTTGGGTTATATTATAATTCTTGACTTATTTATAAATAAGCAGATTAAGACATCCTGGCCAGTTTAATCTCGAACTTCTATAATTCTAAGAAACAAATTTGTGACTTAAATTATAAGAAAGAATCTTTTAGTATGGATCAAGTTTAACGAAATAAATTTTTATTGTAAATGAGAAATACAAAAATAGTTTAAAATCACTTAAGATGGTTTGGATATGTGCAGAGAAGGTCATTGGAGAGCCTAGTGAGAAGGGTAGTCAAGACAATATGGAGTCCCGTAAAAAGAGACAGATGAAGACTGAAAAGAACACTCAATGAGATCATTGAATGAGACCTCCTGGTCAACAATATATCTAAAGACTGGGATGTTGACATAAAACAATGGCACAGTATGATTCATGTAGCTGACTCATCTAGTGAGATAAAACTTCTTGTTATTGTTGTTATTGAGAAATACAAAAATATTAATTTGGTTTAGACATATGCACCCTTTTCCGACGTGAAATTGTACAAACCCTTCGCAACCATATAAATATAACGTGTATAACGTGAAATGAGAATGAAAATGACCAAAATCATATTTGAAAATTAGAAGTAGAGTAAAGAAGAAATAAAATACATAATATAAAAAAATGTTTGATATATAAAAATTTAAAAATATTAATTTTTTTAAAATACTCAGACCAAAATCATGAAAAACACATGATAACGGCATTAATTTGTGGTCACCGTCCTATTCATTGTGATTTTGAAGGCACAAAATTATATGTTTTGGGTATATTCATTGCACATCTCTTGTTGCGGACAATTCGAGAATTATTTGAAGACAGTGATGGGATCACTTATGGCTTCAATTCTAATTTGCCAAACATTATGTTTAAGAAATATTTTAAGATAGATTTTGTGTTCCTGGACTACAAACTCCCAACCGAAGATGCTAATAGGCAGTTATTCGATTTTATTTATAAGATATTTTTAGTATGTTTTACATAAATTAAAAAATTTTAAACTACATTAACTCTCTCTTTTGAAATATAACAACTTTCTATTTTTATTCATATTTAATATATATACCTTTTTTTAAAAAATAATTATCTATACTATAATAAATGAAAAACAAAACAATACATTTATACAAAAATTTAATAAAGTGATTTATAAATAAGACCAAAAAAATAAGGTGGACACCTTTCTTTTTGAAAATTTGAACCTTAATTTGTTACTTCTCTGGTCCTATTTATAAGGCACTTTCTAAGAAAAACCTTAAACTTCATTAGTTCTCATTTAAAATTTAGTAATTTTTCAACTTTATCCCCATTTAATATATATTATATCTCATATAAACAAAGTTAATACAATAATAAATAAGGGGTAAAATTGTACATCTATAAAAAAAATTCTCTCAGTACCCTATAAATATAACAAAAAATTATCTTTTCTCTCCACCCTACAAATAGGACTAGAAGAGTATGTTGCAAGGACTAGCTTCTTTCATTAAACCGAATCCCCATTGGTTAGAATTTAGACGTACACATCTTTATATATTATATAAAATTTGAAAAAATAAATTATATTCCTAATTCATAAAAATACAAATTTCTATAACCGATATTACTTAAACTAACATAAAATCATAAAGTTTCTAATTTTTTAACAAGTGAGCGGATTTAATATACTGAAACAAATTTGTTTTTTTTAACCAAACTATTTTTTTAATAAATATATACCTAAAAAAAAGGAGTGGATAAATGCAAATATAGGATTCTCATTTCTCCGTGACTAGTTTTTTTTTACTTCTTTTTTTGACTGAACCATGACTAGTATTTTTAAACAGGGCTACATAAAAACCCAGTAGTTTAATATGACCCGATTCAATCCAAACAAATCCGGTCCAGTTTGGTTTAAAAAAGAAAAATAGTCTGAAGCAAGATTGGACCAAATTAGATTGGACTAATCTCATCAGGTTAGACTAGATTGGGAATTGACCCTCAGACCAATTGATCCAGTCTAGTCTAACTCAAGTTTTTTTTTTAATTTTTAGCTATTATTTATATAATTTTAATTTTTTAATTCTTCTATATAATTTTTTTGTCAATTCAAATGTTCAAGATTTATCTATTAATTTTCTAAGTGATAAGATGTAAATATATATTTTTTTGTATATGACCTATATTGATGAGGATGAATAAATGAAACATGCTGAGAAATTAAAAAAAAAAGATTAAATTTGATGAAGTTTGGATAATAACTGCAAAATTTAATATGGTAAGTTAAAATCTTGCCACCCATCAAAAAAACTTTAAAAAGTTAAATTGAGGTCTTAAACTATTCCAGACAGTCTCATATACTGAGGGTGTGTTTGGATGAAACCAAACCGTGGTTTGGAAAAGTGATTCTGGAGAATAGATTCTGTGGAGAATAGATTCTGAGAAAAAGTGATTCTGAGAAGTGAGAGTGTTTGGATAGTTATTACCAGAAGTGCTTTTTACATGTGGAAATTACCAAAAAGGGTATAAGTTAATATGATAATTATATAAGGGATAGATTTTATGATTTATTTTGATTTGAAGAAATAAAATTGTTAATGAAATAATTTTTACTAACATAATTAATAATATATAAGATAATATAATTAATACATAATTAATATGTGTACATATATTTATAAAACATAATATTAAATATGTTTATAGAAAAATGATTTTTTTTATAACAGAAAAATATTGATTTTGTTTAAAGATTGTAAACGTGAAATCCCATAACATTTTTTCACAACTACTTTTTGTAATAACATACTACATGTATAATAACCTCTGATGTTTAATACAATTAATTAATTAATTGTCACCACACATATATATTCATAAAATATAAGAGTGAAAAATATTTTTAGAGAAGATGAATTATTTTGTTGCAAACAGAAAATCATGTATTTTTCATGAAGATTATAAACATAAAATGGGATGATATTGTTTGATAAAATAGAATAAACACGTCTTAAAATAATTTATTAATTATTCAAGTAAGTAATAATTAGCTTGAGAATATAAGGCATGATATGAAGGCTAGAACTTAGACATGATATGAAGGCTAGAACTTAGAAGTAAAACTTACAGTGGGATTGTGGGCTTTTATGGGATTTTAGTTTTGTTTATCAAGTAATGTTATGATCTGCAAGATCGAAGCAGCAAGCATTTGCCTTATGTTCAACTCTTGTTAAATTCTGCTGCTTCCTTGTAATGGTTACTGCCGTCATCTTTTGATTTTTCTCGTCTTCCCCCCCCTATCCGCCTTCGTGGTTGGTGTGCCCTTGTTACCAGTGTATTCTAGTTAATCAAAGGCAAAAATATGCCATTTTGAGGTGGATGAGACAAATGCTTGGGATTATCGTGTATCAGCCTCCGTGAACCTTATGAAAGCGCTTCATTCTTGGACACCGATTGTTTTCACAAAATACAGATGCATCCTTCACGATAAATGAACAACAATTCCTTCTCAAACTTTGTACAATACTCAGTCCTCACATCTAGTTCACATTAAAATAAGATACAGGAATCGCGCACGTATGCGTAAGGACAAGAATAAGAAAAGTTCATAGTGCGCACACATGTGGGTTTTACATACTAGTTTTGATTGGTAGGCAGTATATTCTTTAAATTTCTTAAAGCAATGTAATGATGCCATGGGGCCTCCCTTTCTTTTAAGGCAATAAACCATGCATGATTTAAGATCAGCTTCAGTTTCGCTCTAATTCACAGGCATTCCAAGAGAATATACAAATCAAATGAAGCACGGAGATGTGACAGACACCATCAATCTAATTTTTCATAGTAATTTCCACAGAAAATTTAAAAGGAAAAAAAAGAAAAAGGAGAGAAAAATCAGATTACACGCAGCTTCATTAAATTATTACGCCTACACGTCCTTGGCGACAAGCTCACCGTTCAAGAACTCTCTGTAGGCAGCGACGGGCCAACTGAATCCTCTGAACACCAACCTGGTAGCGAGAGGCACGTCGATGATGATCTCCTTCTGGGTCGGTTTCTTGTCGTCCCGGATTGCAATTAGGTAGCTCCGACCAACCCACTCGATCCAACCCACGATGTACAGGAACAAAATCCCGGGCGTAATGAACTCGCCCCAGTGCCTCTGGTCTCCGTTCACGATCAGGTGGGGCAGCCCGTCCGAGCCGCACAGAAGACCCTGCTTCCCGTAGTTGTCGAACCTCTGCTTGGTCTTCTCGATTGTCGCCTTGATCGCCAGAGCCGGTGCGCTGTCCGGCGCGTAATTCTTCAGCGACGACTGAAGCTTCTTTATCTGCTGCTTCTCACGCTTGGCGAACTGCTTGGATTCCTTGCAGGGGGTGAGGCCAGAGATGTCGGCGACAGCGGGGAGCGGGGCGGAGAGGAGGATGGAGGAGAGGGCGAGTGCGGCGGAGAATGCCTGAAGTGGCGATGCATCGGAGGTTTTCTCAAAAGATGCAGAGCAGACGATTGTAAAGGGTCTGGGTTTGAGGGAGGGTTGGGAGTTGCCCAACTTGGGCTTGAAGGAGTTGAATTTCGAGAGGTTGGTGGGAATTGTGAGAGACATGTTTCTGTTCTGAGAGGGAAGGAAAATGGGAGAGAGATTTGAAGAGAAGAGGGAGAGAAAGAGGCAGTGGATGGAGAGACGAGAGAAGAGTTCAATGTTCGAGCTGAGTAGCAAGCTAATAATACGAAGATGAAGAGGAGGAGTGTCGGCCAGCGAAGAGAAGAGGAGGATCTCTGGGGTGTTTTTGGAATGACCATTAGCCGTCCCCGATTTTTTTCCACAAGCAAATATTATCAGCTTCTGGTGAAACCATGGTTTCACCGGGTGAAACTATGGTTTCATGTGAAACCAAGGTTTGTATTTTTTATGAAACCAAGGTAGCACCCCAAACCATGGTTTGGGAAAAATGCTACCCAAACAGACCCTGAGTCTAGTTTAACTTGATCTCAAATTAATACTGGACCGGGGATCTTGAGTTGTATTTTTTAACCCGAAACTTTTACTATATCGGACTTTGGTTGATAGTAAACTCAGTGTAATCTGTTTCACACACACCCTTACTTTTGAGCTTGAATCTAATCAATCCAACAAAATCCAAATCTGAATTGAAAGATTTTTAAAGAATCCAATCTAAATTTTGCCCCAAGGTCAAGTCTCGCGACTGATTCTAAGACTGTCTTCTCCTCTCAGCTTTTAATAAGACGAAGCAAAGTGCATCAAAAGCTTTCTTGGTTAGCTCGCCACCGCCTCCTCGTCTCGTTTCGGATTCGCGTCTCTCTCTCTCTCTCTCTCTCTCTCTGTGTGATTGCATCGTATCCAAAACCCTCCGGCTTAATCTAGAAGAAAGAACCACTCTGCCTTGTTCAGACAGAGACAGAGACGCGACTTGATCTGCAATAACAACTACTACTTCTGATTCTGATTCGCATTGATTTTCCCTCTTCTTTGCATAGAAATTGCCCACTTTTTATTATTTACCCCAAATGGCTTATGTAGATCACGCCTTCTCCATTACGGACGAGGATCTCATGGAGACTTCCTACATCATCCACAACAAGCCTCCCATTAAGGAGATCGCCCTCGCTGTTTCCCTCCTCGTCTTTGGAACCCTAGGCATCGTCATCGGCTCCCTCATGGCCTACAAGCACATCGGCGGCGACTCTTCTCACGGTACCCTGCTTTTTTGACCCCTTTTCCTTTCCAGATTTATGTTCTCATTCCGAGTTTCCCCGTGGAAATTCTTTATCCAGTTGGGTAAAAAGTGAAAGTTTCGTCAGTTGAGCTGAAATTTCTAATCAGAGCTTGCATTTTTTTTTATTTGTGATTTATTGGAAAATAAACCCTAACTTGAAGCTAGGTTTTTTTTTTTTAGGGGTTTTCGCTTCTCAGGTGGGTGGTATAATTGAATCTTGGCTGGATGATCTAAACTTTACCTGATCTTGAGAATCTCAGCTACATTGGAGTATCAATTACTGTTTTGGATTTATGGCCTATGTTGCTGATTAACCGGTTAAATAGAAGTGAAATTTTAGTAAAAGAACTACGAATTTCTAATAAAATAGAGGGAATTTTCCTTCTTTCTTTATCTATTTTTCCGCTGGTGATTTACTGGAAATTCAGCAGACCGGAAATTGGGTTTTCCCCACTTTCTCTGTCTAACTTGGTATTGGCTCTCTTGTTTCCCAATAGTCCAATGGAAATATTGTGAACTTGCCTCGAAGGATTTAACTACTTGCTGAGTACAGATTGCTGATACAGATTCATGAGTTTATTGCTTGGTTGTTGATTTGAATGTATCTGTTGGATATTTATAGGACTGTTCTTTGCCATACTGGGGATGGTATTGTTCATTCCTGGTTTCTACTACACTCGGATTGCATATTACGCATACAAGGGATACAAAGGGTTCTCATTCTCAAACATACCTCCTGTATAGAAGGCGAAGGCGAAGGCTCTGTTCTTAGGTCAAAGTTCAGATAGCTTCCTCTCATGTACAGGTGTCTTCCTTCGTTGTTGTTCATTCCCCTCTCTCTCTTTTGTTTTCCTCTTGTTTCGTGGGAGATATAATGTGTATTTAGATTTCAGTTGTTTTCACGCCTGAATTAATGCAGACTGTGGTTTGTACATTTCAATCTTTTCATTAGTGTATTGCGATTAGTTCAGTTTGCTATATTTGATCAGTTCTCTTGCATATGTGGAGCACACTTGTCCTTATGATTTTGTGCTCCTATGGATCACTTATAAGCACTTACAAATATATTTTATGTAAGTTAGGATAAAATTTTTTTTCATATTCTTATCTCGTATTTATTTTGTAAATCACGATTTAAAAACTGTTAATAAACTATTTTAAAAAAGCTGCTTATAAATTATTTTAAATGAGTCCTGGGTATGAAAATAATTTTATTTTAGTATCGGTGGCCCTCGTAGCTACTCCTCTATCACTAACCAAAGCTGGAAAACACATTATGATCCATATGACGGATACAGACGCCTATTTGGTATTTGGTATTAACCGTTTAAACTCGAGTATTTTTAGATCTAATTGAGGATAATTCTTTTGGGAGAAACATTGAGCCCGAAAGCATGAATATAATTATCAGAGTCCCAATAACAAGTAAGTAGCATAAGCTTATTTTATGTTGTTTACTTATTTAGTACTTTTCTTGAGACCTTAGTTATTCTGTCCCAATACGCTTTTTTAGCTGTCAATACGCTTTTTACTCAGAATCTGGCATCCCAGTGTTCAAATTTCTCCGTCTTTTTGCTGGGATTGGATCACATTCTTGGTGATTCTTGGTTTTTGGCGTTTTTAGGTGTTTCTTTCTTTGTGTATTTTGTACCTCATTTTGTGTTACGAGTTTTGATGGTGTAATGCTTAGCGTTATTATCTTTGGTTGTGAGAGTTTCTCTGTTTATTGTCCTAATATTCAATGTACCATTATATTTTTGAACCTATCAATTTCTTTCGCGGTGTGGGTTTTTCTGCTTTGTTCTCCTAGTATACAATGTAACTTATTGATGCTTCTTTAACAGTGCCTTCTAGACCTCATTTTGTGTAATAAGGGCTGAAGTTCTGATGGTAGGCTACATCATGTTGAGATTTTCTCTGTTCTTTTATTTTAGCATACATCGTAGCTATTGGCCAATCCTGGTCACTTGGGATGCTTCTCTGCCCCTAAATGAAGGTTCAATCAGTCTGTCTTGCATGTGCTCTGGTTATTCGACTTACACATTTGCGCTTTCAATGTAGATGTAAATAACTTAGTTATTGTTTATTACTCTTCATGAAAACTATGTTTCTTCGTTTGGGAACGCTTTTGAATGGATCTTGCAATTTCCTTTCATGTTTTGTTTTTGATGCTTCGTAAAGAGAGTGACGACTATTATCCATCACTATTGTTGTAAATCCGCTTCTTAATCTTTTGCTGCTTCTAAGACTGGAATTTCTCTATATCTTAATATACTTGAAAGGATGAAGTAATTTTGTTTTGAAGGTGGTTCTGGTTCATCATCTGCACTTGCATCTAATTCCAGCAAACCCATGCAACTATAGTAGAATTTGAGCTTACGTGTAAATTTAAAACCTGAAACCTCCACTGAGCTAGCCATATAGTGCTATCCTTATATCTGTGACTAATTTCATTTTTCTTTTAGTTTGCAAAGTTCTTAATACTTAAATGGTTAGTCAGCATATGATTCCATCTAGGAATAATCATTTTACTTGGAGAAATATCCTATAATTCCTAGTTTGGGATTTTAACTACTTTTTATTCTTATCTTTTGGTTCTTGGTGGTGATCATGCATGTATAGTTATCTTCTTTTTGATATGATGGGTTCTTATGAAGTTCTAGGACTTGCATTTTATACTACATACTCATATTGTCATAAATATGAGCTTTGCAATGTTCATGCTAATTCAAATAAAATTCACTTTCAAGTTTTGTAGTCTAGTTGTCATTTTGCTTTATCCTAACTATCATTAAGTGTTTTATTATCTGTTATGGTTCATTGCAGGAAGAGCACTCGAAAAGTTAAGAGCATCTCTTTTTAATGAGTTTCGCTCCTCTGAAGGTGCAAAGCGCCAACAACAGCGTATTTGTGGTCCTGCTGTTGCGCTTTCCTTCAATTTTCTGGTTGTAGTTGGTATTATTTTCATGAACAAAATGGTACTTACTCTTCCTTCTATTTGATTAATCTGCATAATGTATTGGAATTTCAAATAGCATGTTTGCTGACATTCTTGACTTGTATCTCATTCTTCCTTTTCTTTCTCTTTTGTTTTTCCAGGTACTTCAAACCATTAATTTCAGATTTCCAATTTTTCTCACACTAATTCGCTATCTAGTGAGCTGGTTCTTCATGGCTGTATTAAAAACGTTTTCTCTCCTCCCGGCACCTCCTTCCTCAAAATCAACTCAAATGTCAAGTTTATTTACTCTTGGATTTTTCATGTCTCTATCAACTGGCCTTGCTAATGTCAGCTTAAAGTATAATAGGTAACGTAAATGTTCCCATTTCTGTTTCTTTAAAATTTTCAGTTTTATACTCTGAAATTTAATTTCTATGTGCTCAGCATTGGTTTCTATCAGATGGCAAAGATTGCAGTAACACCGTCAATAGTTCTGGCTGAATTTATACTGTATAGGAAGAGAGTTTCTATGGCCAAGGTTAGTGCCTTCATTTTTTCTGTGAACTTATTGTGGCTGATTACAAATATAACTTACAGAAATGTGTATCCTCTTATGCCCTGTACTGCTTGTGGCTTTATGATTATTTTGTGAAATTGTTCCTTTTATCCTATTGTCCATCCTCTCAATTTGAATTCAGAATCTAAACCTCTTAGTTTAGGTTTGAAAGATCACTATCCTCTTAATTTGGTCCTTTAAAGTAACTTAATTTAGTCCCTGAATCAAAATGGCACTTAAAAAAGGGTCAAAATGATTATCAAAGGGACCATTTTGAGGTGGAGGAAAATGTTTGGAAGGCTGAAATGAGAAATTTCATCTTTACAAGATCAAATTAAGAGGAAACTGATATTTCAAGGACTAAATCAAGAGACTATATCCATAGAAGACCTGGGGGGGGGGGGTTTATATTCTAGGGTTTAAATCATCACTTTACTCCTTTTCTTATCTAAAAAATGACTCATTTATAAAGTAAGTGTATCTGTTGAAGATCCTTCTCACACCTCTACTGAACCTGTATATTTGTGGAAGATAAGCTGAATCATGCTTGTTAGGTTTATTTTACATAGCTTTAATGTTCTTCTGAGATCATACTCGGAGCATACTTTATAGTTTTGAGAATCCATCCAAGAAAATATTATTTTCTGCTGCTAACAAACATTCAATCCCTCTGAGCTATATATTTGGGATTTTCCTTGGATACATTAGGAATGGTTTTAACTCAACTTCTACTCAAACACCGCCCCACCCCGCCCCGCCCCAGCTTTACTACCTAACCTAACCTTAGGTGGCCATATATTTGGGAAATTTGTGCTTATCTCATCGTTGTTTGAAATTTTGAAATGCTTACTATAAGAGTTTGAAAATTTACAGGCTTTAGCACTCACTGTGGTATCTATTGGTGTTGCTGTGGCCACTGTGACTGATCTGCAGTTCCATGTATTTGGCGCTTGTGTAGCATTGGCTTGGATTATACCTAGTGCTGTGAACAAAATCCTTTGGTCCAGACTGCAGCAGCAAGAGAACTGGACTGCTCTGGCGTAAGCTTTTAGCAACATTCATATATTCTTGCCCTCACCTCCTCCCCACAGATGTTGATTTTCATTACGAATTCCTTTTTCTGTATCGCGCATGATTTGTGGGTCGATCAACAGGTTGATGTGGAAAACAACACCTATTACTTTGATTTTCCTGGCTGCTATGTTACCTTGCTTAGATCCTCCAGGTGTGCTTTCCTTCAATTGGAACTTCCAAAACACACTGGTGATTTTTGCATCAGCTATTCTTGGGTTCTTGCTTCAGTGGTCTGGTGCTTTAGCACTTGGGTGAGTGTTAACCGTCTGTTTGGTGTTTCACCGTATTGGTTTTTATAGTGAATGATGCTTCTTGTTCGGTTCCATGTTCGGTTATTTTCACAAATTCTTGAAAACATTTCAGGTAGATACTCCCTCGAATCCTTTCTATAAGGACATGTTATCTACTTTGCATAGGTTAAGAAATTCAGCTAAAATTAGTTGAAGCTGTTAAACTTTCAAAAATACCTTCACTGAGTCATTAATTAGAAGATGTCGTTTAATTAGTTAGGTGATTGTTTAGTTAGGTTACTTTAAAGGGTCTTATGTTAAGGACCATATGGAATGTCCTTATAGTAACGACTGGAATTAGTATTCCTAAACCAACAAGTAAACATTTGAGGAGGTTAAGACGTGTCTGTGGAGTTTACTACTGGCATGTTTGTCTATAGTTAGTTTGATGTCATGCTCATATTACTCTGATACCTTTTTTTTTTTTTTTTGCGCCAATCATATTACTCTGTTACTGTTTTTGCTTTCAGTCTCTACTCACTGTTGAGAACATTACAGCATGCTATTTTCTTCTGGCTGCTTTTTCCTCTTTTTTCTCATGTGTTTTCCCTCTTTTTCATTGTCGCAGTGCCACATCAGCTATCTCGCATGTTGTTCTTGGGCAGTTTAAAACCTGTGTCCTCCTTCTGGGAAATTACTATCTCTTTGGAGCCAATCCTGGCAAAACCAGTATCTGCGGGGCATTTACAGCGATTTCTGGCATGTCTGTTTACACTTACCTTAACCTGAAGCCCCAATCAAGCAAGGTGTCTCCATGGCAGGCATCAGCTTTACCAAAATCAAAACTTGGCAAAGAAAACGGCAACTCCAAACTCGGCAAAGAAAATGGCAACTCCATTCATGACGGACATTACGGTGCAGAATCTGTCTAACAAGAAAGCCTAACACTGCATTACATGAGGTAATGGATTATGACATATTAAGGTATTAACCAAGAACAATTCATTCTTTCTTTCGGATTCCTAGGATTGTCTCTAACCATTTTCAGTGTTTGCTAAAAAGATATGTTTATTTGTATGAATCAACACCAGTTGTATAAATTGATGTTTTGGTGGATCCTGCACTAAAGTTATGGTTCTCTCTGGTTTTCAGTATTTGATATTGTTTCTGCATCTTCTTAACAGAGATCAGAATCTCGGCAGTTGTGATCCAATTTGATGATTATAAAAATAGGAAGACGTTATTCACATGATGCCTTTGGTGTTTCTTTTTCTTT